ATTGTGATATTGCAGGTTGATTTAGGTCTATCAAAACGGCTCGTTGTTCATGAACATATTATGTTCCGCTTGCCTTTTATATATATATATATTGATGAGTAATATTTTTTAAAAATTAATTGATTATAAGGCTACAAAGACTTGTAATCAATTAAAAATAATAATTAAGAAAAAAATTAAAAATTATTAAATTAGATTCAAATGATGTTTTAATATAAATAATAATTTTTAAATCTTACCACAATCCTTAAAATCTTATGGCTATATGTCAAAATGACTCTTTGTTTGTGACGACTCGCTAAACAAACGAGTCTAATACAAACACGTTTTTTAGCTCGAAATATAAATGAGCCGAACACGAGCTGAGCATATGTTATCAAAATTAGGGAGACTCAGTTTTACACCCCTAATTTTGATAACATGTGAATTATTTATTAAATATGAATCATATAAAATAATAAAATTAAGTTAAATAAAACTAAACCTATTCCACTCTACGCCTGCCCCGAAATCCCCTTCGACATCCCCCTCTCCTGGTTTCAGAAAATATTTGCGTACATAAGACGTACACAGTGCTGTGTACGTCCAGGGGGTATAGGGGGTTCTATCGGGGTTATACCTCCATGCAACCTTCCTGTAATCTACCTGTAACCTACAAATGAGTTTTAGGCTTCTGTAATTTTATAGGAATAAATAAATTACACGAAGATTACATGAAAGTTAGACAGAAATTATAGGGGTAAAATCACCTCTGATTTAAGCAGAGCTCTTTCAGACAAATATTTTCCCCCGGTTTCGCCCAAACTTGACATCTCTGCTCAAAACCCTCGCTTATCACGCCCCTGGTGGTGTCGCCCAAAAACATCGCCTTCGTGAACAAAAGCTTCGCCATACAGTCACCATTAGAGCTAGCTGGGAAAGAAACGACGGGTTCGCGGCTTACAGAGACCTCCGAAACTATCTTTCTCATCCTTCCTCTCCGCACCTACCAGAACCTTTGAGGAAGGTAAGCCTGTTCGCGCCATTCTTCCTTTTGGCTCGTCCGGATTTACTGAATCCGCCGATTCACATGATTTAGTAAATCTCAGATTTATCGCGAGTCGGCGTTATTTTGGGATTTTCGGGACCTTAGGATTTACGGAGGCATTTTTTGCCTTTTGACAGGATTTAGCTTAAATCCTGCTTAAAACCGGCTACCAAACAACCCCATAGCATCGACTCACTCTCTTCTTTGCATTATTTTGAACAATGCAGCTCCCATTTTAGATTTAAGATATTGTGCAGAACTTGAGATCATTATCGAACTTACGTAGAGCATGAGACTCCCGGCTGTGTTGGATTTGGGGAGATTGATGTACAAAACATTGCCTTTGTGTCTTAGAGAGCTTGTCTCTCGAGTAGAGCACATGTGGTCTACATGGCAATGGAAGCACTCTGAATTTTGCTTGCAAACATCATATCTAGTCGAAAAGTGTACTTTTATTAACTTTGTTTTCATAGTTGTGCCTCTGAAGTGCAATTTGAACGAATAAAACCAACTTGTATTTATATGATTGTTTTGTTTGCAACTATATCATATATGCTTATTTCGTTTATTTATTTTTTTATATCCTTATCTTTCTTTGATTTGCATGGTAGTTTAAAAAATGATGATGTTGTTGAAGGAATAATTATTTCACACGCTCTAAAATTTAAGAATGTTTTGCCAATCATGCTGTTATTGAGAGATCAGTCATTTTCTACTCTAGGTTTAATAAAATTGCTTTGGATAACCCCATACGGTTATATTGTCTTCATTTTTCATTTCTAATTATACGAGGTCAACCAATTTAACAAGCCTGTCTCCCCTCTCTTATTGTTTTTAACTAAATATCTCCTTTTCATGGAGGTTCAAGCAAAGAACAAGATGGGACTTTTTGCAATGCATTGTAAAAGGAAGAAGTGGAAAATAGGGGGAAGCAAAATAAAATATTCAATATCCCCTATTTATTTTTAATTTTATATTTTTACTCTACTATGTGCAATCATTAATTGTGGTGAGAAAGGCCTCCAATTGTCTCTCCCAATTAAATGGGCCTAGTTTACCATCATTCATCAGGGAGGAATTTTGCTAACCATGGAGAGATCCGGTGATATAGATGTGGATTGGTGTTGCACTTCTACCATAAGAGGTTCTTGATGTATGGATAATCTCCTTCAAATTATCTTCATATTATTGTGATTATCACGATGGTGAAAGGACCATTATGTGTGACCCCATCCACCCAAGTGGGAGGGCTGCACTAATTCCTTCTTGAGGGCTTGGTTTAGCACCCAGGGTATTGAATGAAGAAGTTCCTCTTTCCACATGGTGGCAACATCCGCTTGACTAATATTTGGTCAGACCTATTGTTGATGAGGAGTTAAGATTATCCTTCCAAATTTTTTGTGTAAGAGATGGTTATCTCCTTGTTTGAAATATCGTATCTTTGATGTTTTAGTATTCATACCCTTTGGGAGGGGAACACTATGATTTCCCATTCCCTTCTCCAACAACCAATAAAGAAGAAAAAAAGGAAAATACATGGTAATGCGGTAGGGGTGTTGTGACCAAAAGTTGCTGGCATGAGGATAATATGTTGCTTGTGGTGTAATGATGTTGTATCCATATTGCAAGGGCGTTGCATGCTGCAGGATTGTGGTATATAATTCTGCTCAAGTGTAGTGGCTTTGTATATTGTTATAGTTATGGCG